AAGGGGGAGCAGGGAGGGGATTTTGGGGGTGCCGGGGTGGCCCCGGGGCCAGCACTGACCCTGCGGCTCCGGTTGTGCTCAGGTGAGCGCAGGTGACGCTGCAGGAGCGGCCCCTGGGCCGGGATCAGCATGTCACACGCCAGGCAGTGCGCCGCCTCGATCCGCTTGAAAAAGTGCTCCTGGCCGATCCCTGGGACATGGAAAAATCCATGGAATTCCGGGAATTCCCAGAGAATTCCATGGGTTGGGAAAGGAGCCACTCCCACCCCGAAATTCCTGGTTTTTGGGGATCAAATCTGTCAATTTTCACCCCAAAAAAATGAGAATTGGCCTCGATCCGCTTGGAAAAGTGCTCCTGGCCGATCCCTGGGCATGGAAAAGTCCATGGAATTCCAGAAAAATTCCAGCAATTCCCAGAGAATTCCATGGGTTGGGAGAGGAGCGGTTCCCACCCCGAAATTCCTGTTTTTTTCCCCAATGAAATCTGTCAAGTTTCACCCCCAAAAAACGAGGAACGGCCTCGATCCACTTGGAAAAGTGTCCCTGGTGGATCCCTGGGACGTGGAAAATTCCATGGGAATTCCAGGAAAATCCCAGCAATTCCCAGAAAAATCCATGGGTTGGGAGAGGAGCAGTTCCCACCCCGAAATTCCTGGTTTTTGGGGATCAAATCTGTCAAGTTTCACCCCAAAAAAGCGATTATTGGCCTCGATCCGCTTGGAAAAGTGTCCCTGGCCGATCCCTGGGCATGGAAAATTCCATGGAATTCCGGGAATTCCCAGAGAATTCCATGGGTTGGGAAAGGAGCCACTCCCACCCCGAAATTCCCGTTTTTTCCCCAATGAAATCTGTCAAGTTTCACCCCAAAAAAACGAGGAACGGCCTCGATCCGCTTGGAAAAGTGTCCCTGGTGGATCCCTGGGACGTGGAAAATTCCATGGGAATTCCAGGAAAATTCCAGCAATTCCCAGAGAATTCCATGGGTTGGGAAAGGAGCCACTCCCACCCCGAAATTCTCGTTTTTTCCGCAATGAAATCTGTCAAGTTTTACCAAAAAAATGATTATTGGCCTCAATCCACTTGAAAAAGTGCTCCTGGCCGATCCCTGAATATGGAAATTTCCATGGGAATTCCAGGAAAATTTCAGCAATTCCCAGAGAATTCCATGGGTTGGGAAAGCAGCAGTTCCCACCCCGAAATTCCTAGTTTTTGGGGATGAAATCTGTCAATTTTCACCCCAAAAAAATGAGAATTGGCCTCGATCCGCTTGGAAAAGTGTCCCTGGTGGATCCCTGGGACATGGAAAATTCCATGGAATTCCAGGAAAATTCCAGTAATTCCCAAAAAATTTTATGGGTTGGGAGAGGAGCCGCTCCAACCCCAAAATTCTCATTTTTTGGGGATTAAATTTGTCAATTTTCACCCCAAAAAAATGAGAATTGGGGATGATTCATTGAGTGAGCTCCAATCCCAAAAAAATTCCCCAAAAAATCCCCAAATTCCCCCAAAATTGTTCCCCAAAAAATTCCCAAAAAATTCCCCAAAATTCCCCCAAAATTCCAAAATAGTTCCCAAAAAAATTCCCAAAAAATTCCCCCCAAAAAATCAAAATCAAGCTGGAGAAATTCCCAATGTTAGCGTTGAAAATTTCCCAAATAAGATCTGGAAAAATCCCAAAATCTAAAATCTGAAAATTCCCAAATAAAACCAGGAAAAATCCCAAATAATCCCAGAAAAAAATCCCAAATAAATCCAGGAAAAAATTCCAAATAAAACCAGGAGCAAAAATCTGATCAAACCTAAAAAATTCCCAAATAAAACCAGAAAAAAAATCCAATTAAAGCCTAAAAAAATTCCCAAATAAAATCAGGAAAAATTCCAAATAAATCCAGGAAAAAAAATCCAAATCGAGGCCAAAAAATTCCCAAATAAATCCTGAGGTCGAATTCTGGGCTGAATGTCTGGAATTCCCAGAATTCCCAAATTCCCAAATTCTGAATTCCCAAACGATTCCCAAACAATTCCCAATAATTCCCAGATAATTCCCAAATTAATTCCCAAACAATTCCCAAAAAATTCCCAAATAATTCCCAAACAATTCCCAGATAATCCCCAATTAATTCCCAATTAATCCCCGATTAATTCCCAATTAATTCCCAAATAATTCTCAAATTCCCAGTTAATTCCCAAACAATTCCCAAACAATTCCCAATTCAATCCCAATTAATACCCAAATAATTCCCAAACAATTCCCAATTAATTCCCAAATAATTCCCAGACAATTCCCAGATAATTCCCAGATAATTCCCGATTAATTCCCAATTAATCCCCAATTAATTCCCGAATAATTCCCAATTCAATCCCGATTAATGCCCAATTAAATCCCAATTAATTCCCGATTAATTCCCAAACAATTCCCAAATAATTCCCAAACAATTCCCAAACAATTCCCAATTAATTCCCGATTAATTCCCAGATAATTCCCAATTAATTCCCAAAAAATTCCCGAACAATTCCCAGATAATCCCCAATTAATTCCCAGATAATTCCCGATTAATCCCCAATTAATTCCCGAATAATTCCCAAACAATCCCCGATTAATCCCCATTTAATTCCCGATTAATCCCCAATTAATTCCCGATTAATCCCCAATTAATTCCCAATTAATCCCCGATTAATTCCCAATTAATTCCCGATTAATCCCCAATTAATCCCCGATTAAATCCCAATTAAATCCCAATTAATTCCCGATTAAATCCCAATTAATTCCCAAATAATTCCCAATTAAATCCCAAATAATTCCCGATTAATTCCCAATTAATCCCCAATTAATTCCCGATTAATGCCCAATTAATGTCCGATTAATTCCCGATTAAATCCCAATTAATTCCCGATTAATTCCCGATTAATCCCCAATTAATCCCCAATTAATTCCCGATTAATGCCCAATTAAATCCCAATTAAATCCCGATTAATCCCCAATTAATCCCCGATTAATTCCCGATTAATCCCCAATTAAGTCCCTAATTAAATCCCAATCAGTGCCCACCCTTGAAGGGGTCTGGTCTCTGTTTGGGGCCCTCCTTGTCCGAGAGCTCCTGGCGGCGCCGCTCGATTTTCCTGTTCCTGTTCACGATGTACTCCTGGAAAAATCCCCAAAAATCCGGAAAAAAGGGGGGGAAACCCGGGAAAAACCAACCCCAAATAACCCCAAACCATTCCCAAAAAATCCCCCTCCAAGTCCCAGATAACCCACGGGGGAAAATCCCAAAGGAATCCTGAAAAAAATCGGGAAAACACCGCGAAAAATGAGGAATAAACGGTGAAAAAATCCGAATTTTCGCTTAAAAACTCCAGGAAAAGGGGGAGAAAAAATAAGGAAAAAATTGGAAAAAAATCCCAGGAATTCCAAATTTACAACTGGAAAAAATTCCACGGAAAGCTTGAAAAACAACGGGGAAAAAAGCCGCGAAAACGCGAAATAAATGGCGAAAAATTCAAATTTTTGCCTAAAAACGCCAAAAAAAAAGAGGGAAAAAAAATCAGGAAAAAATGGTAAAAAAATCCTAAAAAATCCCAGATTTCCATCCGGGAATAATTCCACAGAAATCTTGAAAAAGAACGGGGAAAAAAGCCGCAAAAACGCGAAATAAATGGCGAAAAATCGGAATTTTCGCCTAAAAACTCCAAAAAAAAGGGAAAAAAATCAGGAAAAAATGGCAAAAAAATCCCAGAAATTCCAAATTTACAACTGGAAAAAAATCCACGGAAATCTTGAAAAACCGCGGGGAAAAAAGCCGCGAAAACGCGAAATAAATGGCGAAAAATCAGAATTTTCGCTTAAAAACGCCCCGAAAATTCCCGAAAAAAATTCCTAAAAATTCCCAAAAATTCCCAAAAAATTCCCACTGTTCCCCCATGGTCAGAATTGCACAGGAAGGGGTTTTGGGGCGTCACCTGCAGGAACTGCACGCTCCTGTCGGGCAGTTTGGTGCCGATGGAGCGCAGCGTGTCCCGGTGGGGGTGGGGAAAATCCCCCCAAAAATCCCTAAAAAAATCCCTAAAAAAATCCCTAAAAAATCCCAAATAATTCCCCAAAAAATCCCCCGAAAGTCCCAGATTTCCAACTCAACAAAATCCCCAAAGAAAACAACGCCCGGGAAGACGACGTGAGAAAACCGCGACAAACGCGAAATAAATGGTGAAAAATCGGAATTTTTGCCTGAAAATTCCTAAAAAAAAAGGGGGAAAAAATCAGGAAAAAATGGCAAAAAAATCCCAGAAATCCCAAATTTCCAACTGGAAAAAAATCCACGGAAATCTTGAAAAACAACGGGGAAAAAAGCCGCGAAAACGCGAAATAAATGGCGAAAAAATCGGAATTTTCGCTTAAAAATTCCCCAAAAAAAATCCCAAAAAAATCCCAAAAAATTCCCAAAAAATTCCCAAAAATTCCCAATATTCCCCCGTGGTCAGAATTGCACAGGAAGGGGTTTTGGGGCGTCACCTGCAGGAACTGCACGGTCCTGTCGGGCAGTTTGGTGCCGATGTAGCGCAGCGTGTCCCGGTGGAATTTGCTCTGCAGGTGCCTCTGGATCTCCTCCTCCTCCAGGCTCCGGAATTTGCACACGGAGCAGGCAAACTGGATCCTGGAAAAACACAAAAATCGGGAAATGTCACCCAGAGTGGGGGGAAATAGGGAAAAACGGGGGGATTTTAAAAAAAAATGGGGGAAAAAAACAGTGGAAATGGTGGGAAATGAGAAAAAAAAAATTTCAGGAATGGGAAAAAATCGCTCAGAGAAATGGCCTGAAATGGATGAGGATTTATAAAAATTATAAAGTTCAAAAAATGTGAAGAAATGTTCTGAAAATGACCCAAGAATGTGAAATAAAACTAAAAAAAAAAAAAAAGTTCAAAAGCGAAATCGCAAAAAAAAAGCGTCCAGGAATGGAAAAAAAAATGAAAAAAAAAGTTTGAAAGTGAAAAAAAAAAACTCCAAAAATATAAACCAAAAAATGGAAAAGCTTAAAAAATTAAAAAGTTTAAAAATGGAACAAAAAACTTTCAAAAAAAGCCCAAAAATGCAAAAAAAACCTCAAAAAAAAATCCCAGAAATTTCCCTGAAATTTTCCAAATTCTCAGAAATTCCCCAAAATTCTGGGAATTTCCTGAAATTCTCCAGAATTCCCCCAAAAATTCCCACAAGTTCAAGAGATTTCCAAAAATTTCCCAGAAAAAATTCCAGAAACTCCCAGGAATTCCCCAAAATTCCCCCAAAAATCCCAGAAAGTCCAAAAAAATTCCCAGAAATTCCCAAAAATTTTCTGAAATTCCCCCAAATTCCCCAAAAATTCTCAAAAATCCCCTGAAAATTCTTCAAAATTCCCCGAAATTTTCCAGAAATTTACAAAAATTGCCAGAAATTCCCCAAAAATTATTTGAAATTTCCAAAAATTCCCCAAAATTTTCTGAAGTTCCCCGAAATCTCCAAAAATTTTCTGAAATTCCCAAAAAATTCCCTGAAAATTCTCGGAAATTCCCAAAAAATCCTCAAAAAAATCCCCGAAATTCCCCAAAAATTCTCAGAAATTCCCCAAAAATTCTCAAAAATCCCCTGAAAATATTTCAAAAATTCCCAGAAATTCCCTAAAAATTCCCCAAAAATTCACAGAAACTTTCTAAAAATTCTCAAAAATCCCCTGAAAATTCTTCCAAAATTCCCTGAAATTCCCTGAAATTCCCCAAAAATTCCCCGAAATTCCCCAAAAATTCACAGAAATTTTCCAAAAAAATCTCAAAAATCCCCTGAAAATTCTTCAAAAATTCCCCAAAAATTCCCAGAAATTCCCCCCAAAATTCCCTGAAATTCTCAAAAATTCCCCAAAAATTCCCTCAAAATTCCCAAAAAATCCCTGAAAATTCCCCAAAAAATTCTCAAAAATCCCCAGAATATTCTTCAAAAATTCCCTAAAAATTAAAAAAAAATCCCAGAAATTCCCCCCAAAATTCCCTGAAATTCTCAAAATTCCCCAAAAATTCCCTCAAAATTCCCAAAAAATCCCTGAAAATTCCCCAAAAATTTCCCAACAAATCCCCTGAAAATTCCCCCAAAATCCCCAGAAAATTCTTTAAAAATTCCCAAAAAATTCCTCAAAAATTCCCCGAAATTCCCCAAAAATCCCCAGAAAATTCTTCAAAAATTCCCAGAAATTCCCAAAAAATTCCCCGAAATTCCCCCAAAATCCTCAAAAATCCCCAGAAAATTCTTCGAAAAATCTTTAAAAATTCCCTAAAAATTCCCCAAAAATTCCCCGAAATTCCCCAAAAATTCTCAAAAATCCCCAGAAAATTCCCCAAAAATCCCCAAAAAATCCCGGAAAATTCCCCCAAAATTCCCAAAATTCCCCCAAATCCCCAGAAATTTCCCCTTTCCCCACCTGTCCATGGCCCTGTCTCTCATTCGATCTCTCCTTCGCTGCTTCTCCCGTTTTTTCTTCACCTCCTCATCCTCATCCTCGGATCCTGAGGGGAAAATTTGGGAATTTTCATCCCAAAAAAAAAAAAAAAAAAACCCACCAAAACTTCCCCAGCATTCCCAGATCCCAAATCCCTGAGATTCCCTGGTTTTTTTCCTTGATTTTCCCCATTTTTATTTTAATTTTCCTGATTTTTTTCCCTTTTTTTTCCTATTTTCCCCAATTTTTTAACCTATTTTTTCCCAATATTTTCCTGCTTTCCCCCCCCCAAGATATTCCCATTTTTCCTCTTTTTTCCTATTTCTCCCCCAGATTTTTCTGTTTTGTTTTTTTTTTCCTGATTTTTCCCATTTTTCCCCCCATTTCCCCCTTTTTTCCCCCACATTCTCTTCGTTTTCCTTTCTTTTTCTCAATTTTCCCTCTGGTTTTCCCATTTTTTTTTCCATTTTTCCCCCTGGTTTTCCCATTTTTTTCCTATTTTCCCCCAATTTTTCCCATTCCTCCCAATTTTCCCATTTTCTCCCATTTTTCCCACATTTTTTCCCTGATTTTTTCCCATATTTTTCCCCCCAAATTTTCCCATTTTTTTCCCTGTTTTTTTTCCCAAATCTGCTTCCCAGAAATCCTCTGGGATCCATCCCCAAAAATTTCCTTGGAATTTTTTTGTAAAAAACCCCAAAATTCCTTCAAAAAACTCCCAAAATCTCCTCACAAATCC